CGCGGAGTGATACAAAATTGTGAAAGGGCGTTCCTGTAGCTATACCAGTGCAATATCTCACAGTTTTCTAAGACTTTTCATTTGCACTTATATATTGTTGCTCTTTTGTTAGTTTTGACTGCTTAAGTTTAGTTTAAATATAAAAAAAATAAAAAATACATTTAAATATATATCAGTGTTACTGTCCCAATGACAGCTTTTGTGACTTTTTTTCTGAGAGTGTATGATGGGGACATTCATGCATATCCGCTGGTGACTGAAATCAAGTCGCGTAGGCTGGTGGGTGGTATGCTGTTCCCTCCACGGGTGGCATCGTGACAAAACCGCAGTTTGCTCAAGAAGTGCAGTGTATTTTTACTGTCTCATTTAAGGAAATTCCGAGAAGGCGCTACAGAAGTTTTGAAAGCCAGTTCCTTCTGCATGACCATCTACACGAGGCAAGACACGCCCGCTCTTCTGCTAATGTAGTCACCGCATTTGAGTTATTTTTTCCATTGCTGTATTACTTTCAGTCATGGTAAGCAAACATATTCTTTTCTTTAATATTATAACTCAAGATTTGTTCCACGCAACCAGTTTTTTGGGGGAAACCCGTCGTGCATGCTTGAAGGACCATTATTAACAACTTCCCACAACATTTCTGTGTGGAATACCCGATAAAAGGTCATTTGAGCATGAGTTTTAAGTTTATGATTATTTTCATAACCTCAAAAAGTTGTACTTGCACAGAAATGGTTGCGTGCCGACTGATTCGCAACCTTGCTTTGTCATGTCTCTCTATGAAAACGGGAAATATGATAGCTGGTTGTTTTTGTGCTTGTTTCGTATCCCGATCTGTCACGAGGGATGAAGTCTGTGGGTGCGTTTTTGTTTGACGCTCTCTTATAGCTTATGATGAAAAACAGGAGTTAAGGTTTTTAATGTCGTTTCCAGGAACGCGTTTTAAACCTGCCAGACCTGCTGTCACGAAAACCCGAGATGAGCTCGTTCTATTTTCAATGGATTTTACTCTCAGCACTTTGGATTGCAGGTAAGAGTTCATTTTCACGTCGCTGATTAGGTGGGGTTTGTCCATTGTCGTGTTGAATTCATCTAGTGTTTATTGTGGTGCAAACAACGGGAAAGAATAAAGAATAAAGGTGATGCTTTTTCAAATGTGAAAATAAAGAGCCAAGTTTTTCTTATTTTAAGTATCAT